CTAGGATCCTCCCAAACAATCTGTCAATGAGATATATAGTTATTCATTGGGAAAGTTATGGGATGTTCTCAAACATTTTTTAAGAAAAGTATTGAAGATGGCGTTTCGGATTAATCTGGATCTCCAAAAATTAGTATGCAACCTGAGCGGAGCACCGAATTCTTTTCTAATTTGCTACTATAATACACGTTGTCTCCGTAGCAAAAGTAAATGGATTATGATAAAGAAATTCATACAAGGGGGTCATCTTTTGATGACAAAAATTATTCTTAGGACGAAAATGAAGGCGACTTAGAAATAGATGAAAAAGACGACACTGTCGAAATCGAAAGAGAAGCAGTTGAATTCCTTTCTTTTATCTCAACGTCATTAACTAATGACCAAAGTTCACGGAAAAGAAGAAGCAAACCTATCCGCTTTTCTACGAGAAAGGAAAAAGAAATCCAACAAACGTTGTGGAACAAATCTTCATCAGCTCAATTATCAGCACATATGAGTGTTGCTGGATCCAAAGGAACATGCAGATACTGCAGTACGAGAGATTCTCCAGTGTTTAATAGCATGACATGCAGCTATTGTGTCATTTCTCTTTGTGTAAAAAAAATTGATTTTTGTTATTTCATTAAAAGCTTGTATAAGTGTTGGAAGTAATAAACTTTAGCGATCATAATATCCATTCAAGTGTAGCAAGATTCAATAAAACGTATACTGAGTAAATAACATAAGACCACAGGCGAGTTATTAATGCCATGCGTTTATGTTCAAAATAAACTTATCTCATTCTACTTCATTTGAATCTGGCAGAAATAATTTGGGACTGAAAGGGTTAAACTACGTAGAACAAAAAATCAAATACTGTTGAATCAGCTAAATACATACCAGTTTGCTACTCACCTAGTAACTGGAACTGATGTATTCTTGATGTGAACTACTCGTTTATTGTATTTTTGAAGGATTAAGTAAAAGAAATATATTCCCAATAGATAGAATAAAATCCTGCAGGTATTGAGCTAACAATTTCTTTTTTGTTTCTAGAAACTTATACTTGGAATATCTATGAAGATAACGGAATAATTCATTCAAAAGATTATCCAAAATTTCTACGAACAAATGTTGAATATACATGGATTATTCATATGAATTCTTCAAATGAAATTGAAATTAATCTTACTGATATAAATCTTGATTATGATTATGATTATTTACAAATTATAACAGGTAGATAAAAATAAAAATGAATTTTATTTGAACATTTTTCTTTTTATTACTTAAGGAGATGTTATTTATTCGTTAAATATTCCAAAATCTTTTCGATTACAAACAATTAACGAAACAAAATTAATTCTTCGAACAAAACATTCTAATGATGATTATCAATATCGTGGTTTTAATTTAACATATCAAAGTATGTATATGAAAAAAAAATATTTAATTTAACAATATTTTAATAATTATTTCAAGTTAGAATTAAATAAAACTTCTATGGATGAAAATAATCAATTAAAAAATTTACCATGTGGAAAAATATATTCCTCATATAATGGAACAATTGAATTTCAATATGAAACTCTTACATCTTTTGATTGTTTAATATTAATTGAAGTTGATGATGGACAAAATATTTTTTTACGCTTTGATTATTTAAATTGGGATACTAAAGAAAATTATATTGATATTGGCCTCTTTCATGATCCTAATCAATATCAAATTTATCATATATCAGGTTAAATTTATTTGAAAAGTTTTTCTTTTTGTTTTGTTTATACTGAAAAATATCTCTATAGATACATTACCAGGTACTTGGTTTATTGCAAATCATAGTCAAATATGGATACGATTTTATTCAAGTCAATTTTCATTTGGAAATTCTACATTTCGTTTATTTTATTCCGAAACCATTCAATGTAAAACTGTCGAAAACAAAACAATATTCATAGAATCATATTACATATTTCTTTTGTAGGGTCAACTATTTCACCAAAACCAAATATACAAATTTTAGATAATAATAGATTATTTCCTTATCGATTAATTAGTTTACCAACAAATGGTACTTATCATAATTTAACAAAAGTAGGAAGTTTTTGAAAACGAATCTATATATACAGTTCTGGATAAAAGTAGCCGCTTCCCCATGAAGTGCAACTAAACTCTAAAAAAACAAAGTTTTTTCGAAAACCGACCAAAATAGGTTCCGAGAAATCATTTTTTTTAAGAGTATACCTTATTATGGCCAAAGCTCGTAACATATAGACAAGACCTGAGTAATTAGAATGTTCTGAGGTAGTGTCATCTATATCGTAGTGCTAACTCAACTTCACAGACTTTTCGTCTCATGAGAACTTTCTACTAGAGTTTTTAAAAGAATTGATCGAAGTCATCGTGGAAAAGATTCATCTTACTAAAAATGAATATTGGCCATTAAACAAATATTTTTAATGAGAGTACAATATCTTAGTTATTTTGTGAAACACGACCTAAAAAGAGTGTTGAAGTGTTAAGGGTAGAAATTTGGACCCCCCCCCCCCCACAGACCGTTACCGACAGACGATTCCACCGTCATCCCCCATTGCAGACAGATGAAGACGGGTGAAAGGGTGAAGGATGGGGGTTGGAATTGG